GATGAAATTCGTTGCCAACGCTTTTAAAAGTCGATTTTTATCGATTTTTATCTATTCGTTGTTGCAGCCCTAATAAAAATATTTGCCAACAGTTCTTCTCTTTCACTACAATCCCACCAACAAGATTTGTAAAAAAACATTTAAGTTCATGAGAATTAAATTATTTCATGCAGACGACTGTGTTAAACTGGTTTACCTTCTATTTTAATCCTAATTTGTCGTTTCTCTTTAGTCTGTTCCAGCACTACTGCTACTCCAAAGGCGGGATGCGTCACACCTCTTACACCTGCATCTGTGGAACGTGAGGCTTTAGAAATCACTGCCTTTAGGAATATAGGTTCTCTATATTTAAAATCTATAGTAAATATGGTATTACTTCAATTTGAGCAGCCTTTATCACAATATAGGGCAAGCAAACTGTTTTTGAACCAGAGTTGATAAAAAAGAAATTATAGTTTAAAGCCTACAAATCAATCAGTGACAAACTCATAAAATCTGAGGAATTTTTTTTTTGTTTGTATCATTTTACACCTAAGTTATTAGCTTTGAGGTTAATCATGAGGTATTTCCTTTAGTCCATTTAAAGTTGTTGTTTGGTCTCCAGCTTTACTGCTAAGATCAGATCCTCATCATGAGCTCAAGATCTCTGGTTGAATTTTTTTGTGGACAAAAATTAAATTTGACTATGTGGAGGTCCACATCTCTGAAAACTTGGTTCTTCAGATTCTTTTATTACCACATTGAGTTTGTTTTCTGCAAACTAGTAAGTTAAGAGTTAAAGCAGAGCGTTTTGTTTTTAAATCTCTTATAATTTTCTGCCACCAGGGGGAATAACTCCTCGGTCCTCCACTATGGTCACGCTGGAGCTCCAAATGACAAGACAATTGAAGATGGAGACATGTGGTCAGCAGATTTCTAATGTTTTGGGTTTTTTTTTTTTTTACTTTAAGAGCCATAAATCAGTTTGTTTTGGAAGTTTTGTGAAAAACTGCATTTAGCATCACTATTAAATAGTGATCTGTGTCATTGCTTTTCCCCTGTAGTTTGTTTGACATGGGTGGAGAGTACTACTGCTACTCCTCGGATATAACCTGCTCTTTCCCAGCCAACGGGAAGTTCACTGCAGACCAGCGGGCCATCTATGAGGCAGTCCTGAAAGCCTCATGCGCCGTCATGGCTGCCCTCAAACCAGGTTATCATCCTCCCAAATACTGAAGACAAAGTACATCTGAAATCCTGTTCAAACATACTTCTTCCTTCATTCTTTACATTTTTGTCTACAACAATAAACAGTAAGAATCAGTCATGAAAAGCTAATTAAAGATAAAAGTTAAAAACGGGTGCTCTACCTACGTTTACATGGACACAATCTGATTAAAGGGCTGATCAGATCAAAAATGTTTCATGAAAACGTATCCGATCAGAAATAGATTTCATTCTGATTAAAAAAGAAAATGTTTTCTTGTGATCGCCATTCTGATTGGTGTCCGTGTTCACGGCCAGTTGGACGTTTGGAAAAAAGTCATCTTTGTGCATGCTTGCACGGCCAGATGGATGTTTTCTTTTTTTTCTAAACCTTATCTACTGACTCCTGGTCCTTGGTGACGGAGGTCAAAGTAATGTGCGGAGCAAAGGAGCGTTAGCATGAGGTACGGGTGAGCCCTTAACTAAAATGACCCTAACAACAACAACATTATGATGCAACGAAGGTCCATAATGGAAAAAAACTCCATCAACAGACATGACTGAAGAGCCAAAGAAAAATAAATGTGAATGCCATGAAGGAAGGGTAGCTGAAGTGGAGAACCTGTTTATAAGTTTAATCTAACTTATAACTCTGGGAATATTGGAAAGGGAATTTTTCTCTCTCAACAAAACACTTAGAATAGACTAAAATACACTCAGAGCACTAATTATACCAAAATTATACAAATATATAAAAAAGTCTATAAATGTTTTGCTTTCAATATGGAAAAAACTTTTGCTCCATCTAGAGCTCCTCAAGTAACAGAGTTGTTGCTTCCTCTGGTTGAAATTCTATATTAAATCTTCTTTAAGGAACCTTTTCCTATCAATTGTTAACCATTAATTCATAAGAAATTATCAACACAAATGAAATATTTTACATTTTCAAACCCGTCTTTAGTCAGTGATTACTGGGGAATACATGGTGAGAGCGTGTCTCAGAAAAACATCCTTTTTAATTTATTATTCCTCATTCAGTTTAAAAATAAGGCAGGTTGGAGTTTATTCATGTTTGTCAGCTTCCTTAATGTAAACCAGCTGTTTTATGCCCGCTGCTCAGTTTTGGAAGATTCTTACTTTTTCTGGACTTTTTTCCTTCCTGGGGAGTGTTGAATCATTCCTGTTAGTGCAACCAGCTAACGGCCACAGAAAATCAGTCCTGCACTTACTCACCAGGCAGGACCCTGGAGGGGGGGGGCAAGACAGTCTGAGAGATATGAATCTGACCCTGGAGGAAACCTTATCCAGCACAGAGCTGTTTACACTAAATATCAGTGACAACAGCTTTGGAAATCAACAACTAGACCCTGAAACTGCCTCACCTCTGCTTCCACTAGAGAAGGAGCAACTTAATAAGGAGGTCTGCTTTGTTTTAGAAGGAAATGCGTATTAAATACTATAAAACATAAAAGATTATGGTTTCATTTTTGTAAAGACTCCAGGCTCTTTCCTGATAACAAAAAGATGTTTCTTTTGAAGGTGTGAAATGGACCGACATGCACCGCCTGGCTGACAGGGTTCACCTGGAGGAACTGGTGAAGATCGGCATCCTGCATGGTAACGTTGAGGACATGCTGAAGGTCCACCTGGGTTCTGTCTTCATGCCCCACGGCCTGGGACACCTGCTGGGGATTGATGTGCACGACGTGGGAGGTTACCCAGAGGTAACGGCTAAAGAGGCTGTCTGACTGTCTGAGTTGCTCTTTTCTCTAGATACTGAAGTTTCATCAATAAAAGGGAGATTTGAGGAACACAGGAAAAGGATTGTAAACTTTAACAAATCACATTTATTTAAAAACCAGAAATTGACAAAAAAATAAATAAAAATAGGGCTAGATAGCTAAAGAGCTAGCAGGTATTAGCTCGATCCCTGACTACCGTTACGTGCACACAGCAGTTGTAGTCACAGAAGGCTCCACATGCCTCAATTATATTTTATTCTAAGTTGTCTTAAAAAATCTTAAATGTGACTTTTGGAAGCATTTAGGAACTCTGTATATAGCAGCAAAGTAGTGATTGGTTCAGCATTATGGGTTTAGAAACAAAATGCATTAAAATAAAATCCTGTGGCTGATGCATTTATCAACTAAATAAGATAGTTCTTAATATTCTACGTTCATAAGGAAACATTTTCCATGCCAGACCGGAACTTCCTTTAGCTCCTTTCAGCTACTGTTGATAATCATATTTAGACTTAAATGGTTTTCCAAATGAAAGAAGTTGTAGCTTTTTCAGATATTTCAGTATTTGACTACAAAATGAAACCCTTTTATCCATGCGTTAAAGGGAATAGAGCGCATAAACGAGCCTGGACTGAGGAGCCTCCGTATGGGTCGCCTGGTGCAGGAGAGGATGGTCCTCACCGTGGAGCCTGGGATATATTTCATAGACCACCTGCTGGATAAAGCCCTGGCTGATCCTGCTCAAAGCTGCTTCATCAATAACCAAGTGCTGGCCCGCTTCAGAGGCTTCGGAGGGGTCAGTGTGCCTGTGGAGAGAAAAGAACATTAAATCATCATCTGTTAAATAGTTTGTTACGGTTGGATGATTTTAACTGTCGTAAATTGTTTTTTGTCAAGTATTAGATTTTTCATGCTTTAATTGTTATTCTCTACAGATTAAACATTTATACAATCACTGACCTCCCCGCTGTCTCATCCAGGTTCGCATCGAGGACGACGTGGCAGTGACGGCCAGCGGCATGGAGCTGCTGACCTGCGTCCCTCGCACGGTGGAGGAGATCGAAGCTTTCATGGCTGAGCCTGCCAAAGATTTCAGCCCAGTTTAGGGTGCTGAGAAAACTTGAATATATCCCAGCTTATCATGCAAGTGGCCCCATCACCATAGTGGGCGCCATCCTAAATCACCTTCCAAGTTCTTTACAAAATAAAAGTTTTTATTAGAGGAGAACTATCTCATCTTATACTCCATCATCAGAAAGTTTGCCAGTGATTATGAAGGATTTTCTAAATAAATAAGCTCTCACATTTTGTTGGGCTCTTTAAACATGTTTTCTGATTTTTATACAAACTACTTATTTTCATTCTTTTTTCCATTTTCTATACTAAAAAAGGAAAATAAAGATTCAAGCTTGCAACAAATGCAAGGTATGTGTTGATGTATTTGTTTTTTAGAAGAAGCCATTTTAGATTTCCGCATATGTATACACTTTATTAGGTACACCTGTCCAACTGCTCGTTAACACTTAATTTCTAAGCAGCCAATCACATGGCGGCAACTCAGTGCATTNCACACCAGAACCCCTGATAGACACACCAGAACCCTTGATGGACACACCTGAAATAGTCCAGTTCTGATCCAGCTCTCTTTAGCTCCTGGTTCTGGCCTGGTTTGGGTTCTGGAATCATCGGTTTCTCTTAAGGTCTGGAAAGCCCCTATAGTTCTGGTCCCAGTTAACCGTTCTGGTGGACTTAGATTGGAATTGTTCAAGAGGTGTGGTTCTGGACTGGTCCATTTAGAACTGATGTGTGTTTGACTTCATCTGACCTCTGGTTATATGGCTCCAGTATTCCTACTGGTTCTGGTTATCTTTGGCTCCAGTATTCCTACTGGAGCCAAAGATAACCAGAACCAGTAGGAATACTGGAACCAAAGATAACCAGAACCAGTGGTAATACTGGAGCCATAGATAACCAGAACCAGTGGTAATACTGGAGCCATAGATAACCAGAACCAGTAGGAATACTGGAGCCATAGATAACCAGAACCAGTAGGAATACTGGAGCCAAAGATAACCAGAACCAGTAGGAATACTGGAGCCANGGAATACTGGATCCATAGATAACCAGAACCAGTAGTATTCCCAGTGGTTCTGGTTATCTATGGATCCAGTATTCCCACTGGTTCTGGTTATC